TCCTTCCCAACAATAGCTAAAAGACAGAACTTGCTTCGTTCAATCCATCCATATCTCTGGTATGCTAGAAATTCCCCTCCTTCAATTAGTGAGAACTGGTAAGGAAGACTAGCTGTGTGAACTGGAGCAACAGCAAATTTAAGATACTTGGATAAAGAAGGATCACTGAGATCAATACAGTGTTGCATTTCTATCCTCAGTGACTTGAGGAGTGGACTGGTTGATATTGCATACACTGCACTGACTAGTCTAGTATTATCAGGAAACCTATAAAGGAATTAATAATTAAAATACATGTACATGTATATAATGATGAATAGCAGGTAATTTTTGTCAAGTAAATTTTTGTTATTTCATCAGACATTAAAAATTGTCATAATCATTATTTAAATGCTCATATTTGTTAGAGAACAATATGTATCACATTAATATTTACTTCACTAGGTGCATAAAGATGAAATTAATGGTCTTTTCCTGACAATAATTCCCCACTAACTATACAGACATTACTACATGTATAGTATATGTACTTGTAGTGTCCTCCTACAAGAGCTAGTACTGATACTTCTACAGTCTCTGATGCTGATAGACTATCCTCTGGTACACTAATCTTCAGTCCATACTCCTCCCAGTTCATCAGTTGAGGTTTGTCTCCTTGAACTAAGAACAACTTCTTCCCTGCTATTTGGGATTCACTCAGACCTTCCAAATTATCTGTAGAAAAGTATAACAACTGAAATTATGTATTGTTAAAATGTGTATGTAATTATGGACAAAGATGAGACAATGAACCATAATTCATGAAAAGCTACAATGAATGACAATGTACAGTACATGAAGCAACTTTAAAAATTCGTAAAAATCTAATTGAGATTGAAATCAGCTGAAACTTTCTACACAAAATTATTACATGCATATGCATCAGAAAATGTAATAAAAGTGGAAAATTCCTAACTTTTTATTTTTTGGCGAAAGTTGGCCCGAGGCTATGTCAGGGACTTTCACCTGATTTTTGAGTTAAAAATTTATAAAAATTCAATTTTGATTGGAAGCCAGTCAAACTTGAAACATGACATAAGTACATGTATATGCACCATAAAAAATTATAAAAATGGAAATTTTCTCGTTTTAAATTTTGGTGAAATTTGGCCAGAGAAACTGTACTACTATTATAGTACAGAGACTTCTGTCCACTTTTGGAGCAACTTTAAAAATCTGTAAAAAAGTTAATATTGATTTAAACCAGCTCAAACTTGAAACACAACATAAAAACGTGTATATGCATCTAAAAGAAATTTAAAATCGTGAATTCTCTTCTTACTTTGGTAAAATTTGGTCTGAGACCGTGTACTATAGTACAGGGACTAACCTTCTGATGGTACAAGATAGTTGAACTGAATTTCTTTGTCAAGAGCTAATGAAAAGTATAAAAGTGTTGATAAATATATAAATAAATAATTACATACTTGTTTGTGTTGTTTGTATTTCTTTGTTTTCAGTTTCAATTTGAGTCTCAACTTCATCATTTGAATCTTTTACTAAAAATAATGATAATTAATAAACATGTCAACAGTAGCTTCACAAACAACAACATACCATTAATATCATATTCTTCATCATTATTCATTGTACATTGTCCAGTAGGTAATTCATGTAACCCTACAGTGAATGACAATGTACAGTACATGAATATAATTAATATACACCAATCACTAATCCTTACCTTCCAGTATATCATCTCTATCCATTCTTTTCAATGATTCCTTCAGTTCAGTTACTATTCTATCCTTCTCATGACACCAGGTCTCAA